TAAAATTTTGGGAAGGTGACACCCGCATATGATACTAGGTACTGATTACGTAGAACCTTGACTATCTTTTCAAAATATTCATCAATTTTGTTACAAAACAAAAAAAAGGTAAGTATATATTATGTACATAATGATTCAAGAAAAAAAACCCTAAAAATAATATACCTATATTAAAAAAGAAAAATGTAAACAACCTAAATTGTTACATACAGTCCAAACCAAATAAACTTTTAGTCGCGTGATTAAGTTTGACCAGCATAGCGTTGTCCACTTTTTTATATTTTCTTTTAATCAAAATATTTTAGGAAATCAAAATAAATTAATTATAAATATATAAACAGTTATTATTTACATCAACAAAACTCACCTTGTTAACAGCACTTAAAGGACATAAAGTACATGAGTTTTTTACTGCTATTAAGCAGCTATCTTGTACACTTCGCACTAAAAAGAACAATGTTCGACTGCAAGATCTGCTAGTAATAATTTTTAAGCTTAAAGCAGCTTAAAGTATCACAACTCTACTTATTTGAACCAAAAACTCATAATACAAAACTAAAGTGTCAAAACGAATGACAATGTCAGGAAATGAATAAATAAGTGGCGGCAACTTGACATTTTTTACAGCAGAGCTACCATCTGAATTTCCAGCGCGAAATTTAAATTCTAGTTAGTCAGCGCGTCCGTGGGTTGGCAACAATGAAAATCGCGTGTTAAAAAATGCATAATATAATTAACATTTTTTTCTACAAAATATGTTATAGATATATTTAAAGTCAAAAAAAGAATTAACGTAACAGTATTTAATTAAGCTACAATGTAGGTACATATTTAATAGTTTTGTCTATTTTTATTACCGTTTGCGTAAAATATACCCGAAATAATCCCAAAAACAAACACGTGGCGAGCAAATACAAACTAACAACGTCCAAAAACAAATAAACTACCCAATTATAGCACTTAAACCACTGCAACGACATTAGTAATAAAATAAAAACAGTGTTAATGAAACTTTCGTGTTGGACAGTGCGGAAAATCCAAAATTGATGGGCAAAAAAATTAGTTATCTGAACGTCGCAGTTTGAAGTAGAAACCTTTGTACTAAGCAATCTTTTACAAATTTGTGCTGATACTGGGTTGTTTGACATTTCCATTAAATTGCCTTAAATTATATAGGCACCTATGATAGTATCACCGATAGTACCAAGAAAGTTTGAAAAACCTAGGAAACATTTAAATTGATTGATTTATGTCATGTGTTGTAGTTCCATTAGTCCCCTGCTTTAAAAATCAGGCTAACTAAATGAAACTAACCAAACCAGAAAAAAAAACAGACCTCATAGTATTCTTGGAATTGACAATCATGACTGATGTTGATGGTCTTTGTCAAAAAATGAAACTTAATAATGAAGAGAGTTTCCAGACAATCAAATATGTTCAATAAATATTATTATTTAAAAATTGTTTTTGTTCTGGTAACTTTCTTTCTTTTTTAAATTAAACATTAATTTTTGATAAATTGACATAGATTGGTCTAACAGAAATTAACATCGATTGTCATTTCAACGACCACTGTGACGCCATTTTTTTAACAATGTAGGTCAACTTACCTATTTTAAAAAAAGGTTAATTTGGTCATTTATTAAAAAAAATCATAAGAATGAATACATGGTGTAAGATTATTTTTAAAAATACAAAATAGTTTTTTATCAATGATTTTTTGTTGTGGAAATGAATTTATGTTGATTATTTTATTAATAATTGTCTTTGTAAGACGAAAAACGTTCTTATCGACATTTTGAGAAAAATGCATTCTTCATATAAAAAAATTAAATTAAAAAAGAACATAAGATACATTCAAAAGTATATACATTCTTTTTCTAGAGTATTTTAAAATAAAGTTTTATTATAGATATTATTGGAAACAATCATTGGTAGTACTTAATGTTTGACATCACAGACGCAAGTATGCACGTCAGTAGATTTAATTGTCCTATATTTAACGAAACTGCTTTGTAATTACCAAATTTAAAACAAACAGGAAATTTGCTTTTACATCCAAATTTTATGCAGCAGAAATTTGACTCATAGAAAACTACAGAGTGAAAAAAATATACATATTGAGCTGATTACATACAGACATCCATAACAAGTATACGAATAATGTCTCTATTATCCGTAAAAACAAATAAGCATATAATTAAATCTACAAACAGCCGCATTTCTATTTATAATGCCCATTTACGTATGATAATACCCACAAAAAATAATTCGACCCACAATCAACTTCAAGTAATGACAGCTTATTACGATACAGAACGTAAAGTAATAGTTGACCAGTTATTTGCTTTGCGATAGATCGAAGATCATTAGCTGTAATAACAAATTACCCTAATGCACCATAGACAGTGTATGGAGAAATAAAAAATAAACATAATCAATTACTAAAATAGCCGTTTTATGAATTGTATCATCATTTTATCTGATGTATAGTGTCATAGTGTAGTCGTATTTTGCTATGGTATAAATAAACCTTTGGGATTTAACCAGTGCCAGTGGGTGTTTGCTTAGAAAAAAGATTCTCACACGACCACTCCCAAAAAAGACTCGTTTTGGAGTACCAAGTCGTTAATATAATGCTGCGACCTTCTAGATCTATTGTGTGTTCCCCTTTCTTCAGTTATAACGAGTTATAACTCATCATACAGTCTCAGGGCTTTAACAAAAGCCAGTATCTGAGACGGCTCCACAGAGGCCAGCTCTCCATCCTCGACATCAGACGTACCAAGGTTCATGGCACGAATGGTCGTCGTCTCGGCGCACTCAGTGATAAGGTGTTCTGGTGTTTCCCCATTTTCCCCACAAAATCTGCATTCGCCGTTTTTTCTCAGTTTCAGCCTACTGAGGTGTTCGTTGAGGAGACAGTGTCCTGTTAGAAACCCCGTGACAATCCGAAGATTGTTTTTACTTAAATCAAGGAAAAACTTTGATTTTTTTCGGTCATAAGTTCTGAGGAACTTTTTCGAGTGTCTTAGACCGTTGGAGGACATCCATTCCAAGTTACGGATGGAGTCTTCCAGATTCTTCAGATCCGCTTTCAGTTGGTTCCCGTTTGGAAAACAGAACGGTTCTGGTTCAGTTAGTGGAGTGTTCGCTCCTTTTCTAGCTAGATCATTTGCTTTTTCATTGCCTTCTATCCCTTGGTGAGCAGGCACCCAGAGTAGGAGGACTTTATTTTCTTTGCCTAATTTGTTGAGCTTCTCTAGGCATTCTTTGACCAACTTCGAATTGATGGTTACTGAGTTGATCGCTGACTGAGTTAAGTGCTGCTTGACTATCGGATAGGATGGCAATTTCCTGTTTTTGATAGTTCCTATCTAAGATAAACTGTACGCATCTTTCGATAGCGCAAATTTCTGCCTGAAGGATACTGGGGTAGGTGCCTATTGGTTCGGAGTATTTAGTTTTCGGAGTAAATAACTCATTATACAGTCTCAGAGCTTTGACAAAAGCTAGTATCTGAGACGGTTATCTTCCTCGTTGGTATCTCCATCTCCGATATCAGATGTACCAAAGTTTATGATACGAATGGTTGTAATTTCGGCGCACTCAGTGATGAGGCGTTCTGGTGTTTCCTCGTTTTCCACACAGAATCTACATTCGCCTTTGTTCTCAGCTTCAATCTACTGAAGTGTTCATTCAGGAGACAGTGTCCTGTTAAAAACCCCGTGACAATCCCAAAATTGTTCTTACTTAAATCAAGAAAAACCTTTGACTTTTCTCGGTCGTAAGTCCTGAGAAATTTTTTCGATTGTATTAGATGATTGGAGGATACCCATTCCAGGTTATTAAAGAAGAACTCAAGAACCTGGAAAACTCCTCTTCAGTTGTATTATCTATGGTTTTTATAAACTCCGAAGCTTTCGATATAATATTTTTAATTAATCAATGTTCTATTACGGCCAGTAATTCACTGTCGTGTCCCTCTTTTATAATACAAACAGAAATTCAGCTATTTCAGATAGAAAATTGAAGATAAGGATTAATTGTGGTTGATTTTCTGTCACGACATGAAATATGCTTTTGGTGATTTATACTGGATATAAAGATTTTTTATTGCTTTCTTTTAAATGTTGCAATTATGGCATATCCATGAAATCTGGAATTTAATATGTATAAATTATTATAAGTATATACTTATAAATAAATGAGTATTATATCAAGCAATATAAAAGTATGTTCCCATATATTAGATGATTATAAAATAAAGAAATAGAAATAGAAAATATCATCCGAGCCGTAAATTTGGTGGTCTAAATAAAAAGAAATAAACGTCACAGATACATTTGTTTCTATATTTTTAATTTTTATCACACGAAATTTGCATAGAAAAAGCTTAGACGACAATTATTGCCTATATGACACACAGCGAACTTAGTGTCACCGGTGCTCACTGGTCGAATACTCAACCGCGGTTAAATATTCGACCAGTTCGCGCCTATTCAGCCAACATATAGACATCGTTGATTAAATGGCAAAAGCGCGCATAGAAATAAGCATAGCAAATAAACTGGGCGATAATACACTTCCACACGACTGATTAATTGGTTAAATTAAAGTGGTCGATTTAGAGACCATCAACATATAAAGCCTATATTAACTTCACTATAAAATGAACAAGGGAGCCAATATTTGGACAGTTCAAAATTGGCATGCAATTTCTTATATTTCCAACGACTATGCACCACGCGGTATAACGAAATCCTATCAGCCCCCACTGAACAACTGAACCCATTACCAACCCTTTTATAAAAATAAAAACGCCACTGGTAACAACATACACCTTACAGAATTGCAAAAATGCACCGTTTGTCTAACATTACATCCCTGGCAAAATCCCCTTTGGCCTAATCCAGGCGAATAATCCCCCTCCTGGAAACCCCTCAACCGATCACATATACCACGCCCCCAATCGCTCTAATCTAATCTTTTTGTTGCAGGCGAGAAACCGCACAAGTGCGTCGTCTGTACGAAAGCCTTCAGCCAATCGTCCAATCTGATTACGCACATGCGTAAACACACCGGCTACAAGCCCTTCTCGTGCGGGCTGTGCGAGAAAGCGTTCCAGAGAAAAGTGGACCTGAGGAGGCACAGGGAGTCGCAGCATTCCTCCATTCCAGAGGTGGTCATCGACAGCATGTTCCGCGCTGTCAATCAGCTGAAAGCCAGTGTGAGTGGCGTGAATGGACTCGGTAATGGTGCTTAAAACTGGAAATCTGAGTTGTCCAGGTCGAGGTTTACATAAATGTTTTGTTTAAATTGACGAATTTACGATTTACACAAGTTTGGTCTAATTGAATCTGTACATGCCAATGAAATATGGTTTAAGATTTATGGCGTTTTCAAATAACAACAGGCAGCAGAATTGTCATAGTAGCTGCTGCATTTTTTATCAGAAATAGAATTACTTACATACAAGGAATACACAAACCTTGTAAAGAAAAGTATCTCATTAGTACGTTGAAAAATTTACATAAGTTCTTATTTTAACTGAAGAATTACACAGAGTAAAACTTAGTTTTCTTATCTTCTATTGGTCAGTGAAGCAAATGGCATAGATTTAAGATTTATAGCATTTTTAATCGACACCCTCTAGCGTCAGTGACAACACAGGACTGTGTAATCGCGCGTAAAGTTGGAAATTTGAATTTTCAAGGCCGCAGTTTACAAAAATGTTTCTTTAAATTAACGAATTTACACAAGTTTGGTCTAACTGTAACTGTACATGCCAATGAAATATGGTTTAACAAGATTTAGCGCGTTTGCAAATGACAACAGGCAGCCGAATTATCAGAGTAGGTACTGAAAATTGATGATTTGTGTCAATGGCTACTACTTAATTCTGCCTAATTCTGCTACATGTTGCCTACTATTTATTTTTATCAAATATAGAATTACATCTACAAGAAAAACAAACCTTGTAAAGAAAAATACGTTTTTAAATTCTTTTGATTCTCAATAGGTTGAAAAATTTACATAAGTGTCTATTTTGACTGACCAATTACACAGAGTAAAACTTAGTTTTCTTGTCTTCTATAGATCAATAAGACATGGGCATAGATTTAAGATGTATAGCGTTTTCAATCAACAACCATCTACCGTCAGTGACAACACGAGACTGAGTAATGAGTAATGGCGCGTAAAATTGGAAATTTGAATTTTCAAAGTCGCAGTTTACAAAAATGCTAGTTTAAATTGACGAATTGACACAAGTTTGGTCTAGTTGTATCTGTATATGCCAATGAAATGTGGTTTAAGAAGATTTAGCGCTTTTGCAAATGACAACATGTAGCCGAATTATCAGAGTAGGTACTGAAAATCTACATTGATGATTCGTGTCAATTGCTACTACTTCTGTCTAATTCTGTCTAATTCTGCTACATGTTGCCTACTATTTAGTTTTATCAAATATAGAATTACATCTACAAGAAAAACAAACCTTGTAAAGAAAAATACGTTTTCAAATTCTATTGATTCTCGATACGTTGAAAAATTTACATAAGTGTCTATTTTGACTGACCAATTACACAGAGTAAACCTTAGTTTTCTTGTGTTCTATAGATCAATAAAACATGGCATAGATTTAAGATTTATAGCGTTTTCAATCAATACCATCTACCGTCAGTGACAACTCTAGACTGAGTAATGGCGCGTAAAATTGGAAATTTGAATTTTCAAGGTTGCAGTTTACAAAAATGCTAGTTTAAATTGACGAATTGGCATAAGTTTGGTCTAATTGTATCTGCATATGCCATATATCTACATTGATGATTGGTGTCAACTGTTACTACATAAGTTTGCTGTACATCTACAAGGAAATCAAATCTTGTAAACAAAAACACGTTTTCTAATTCTTTTGTTGCCTGTGAAGTTAATATACATACAAAATTACATAAATTTTTATTTTAACTGACGAATTACACAGAGTAAAACTTAGTTTTAATGTCTTCTATAGATCAATGGAGCATATTATGGCATAGATTTAAGATTTATAGCGTTTTCGATCAACATTACCTATCGTCTGTAACATCACGGAACTGGACAATCGCGCCTAAAATTAGAAATTTGAATTTTCAAGGTCGCAATTTGCCAAAATAACAAGATATTCAACATGTGACGAATTACACAGAGTAAAACTTAGTTTTTCTTGTCTTCTATAGATCAATGAGACATGGCATAGATTTAAGATATCAAGTCAGTAACATCACGACACTTGGCAATCGCGCGTAAAATTGGAAATTTGAATTTTCAAAGTCGCAATTTACAGAAATAACAAGTTATTCAATATACGATATAATTCGTGTTAATTGCTACTACTTAATTTTGCAGCCTGTTTTTTATACTATTTGTTTGTAAATATAGAATTACTTACACCTACAAGAAATACCGACCCTGTAAAGGAAAACACGTTTTCAAATTCTTTGGACGTTCATTGATACGTTCAAAAATTTACATAAGTTTTTATTTTAACTGGCGAATTACACAGAGTAAAACTTAGTTTTTCTTGTCTTCTATAGATCAATGAGACATGGCATAGATTTAAGATATCAAGTCAGTAACATCACGACACTTGGCAATCGCGCGTAAAATTGGAAATTTGAATTTTCAAAGTCGCAATTTACAGAAATAACAAGTTATTCAATATACGATATAATTCGTGTTAATTGCTACTACTTAATTTTGCAGCCTGTTTTTATACTATTTGTTTGTAAATATAGAATTACTTACACCTACAAGAAATACCGACCCTGTAAAGGAAAACACGTTTTCAAATTCTTTGGACGTTCATTGATACGTTCAAAAATTTACATAAGTTTTATTTTAACTGACGAATTACACAGAGTAAAACTAAGTTTTCTTGTCTTCTATAGATTAATGAGACATGGCATAGATTTAAGATATATATAGCGTTTTCAATCAATACCATCTACCGTCTGTGAAATCACAGCACTTAGCAATCGCGCGTAAAATTGGAAATTTGAATTTTCAAAGTCGCAATTTACAAAAATAACAAATTATTCAATCTACGATATAATTCGTGTTAATTGCTACTACTTAATTTTGCTACCTGTTTTATACTATTTGTTTTTATCAAATATAGAATTACTTACACCTACAAGAATTACCGACCCTGTAAAGAAAAACACGTTTTCAAATTCTTTTGACGTTCATTGATACGTTCAAAAATTTACATAAGTTTTTATTTTAACTGGCGAATTACACAGAGTAAAACTAAGTTTTCTTGTCTTCTATAGATTAATGAGACATGGCATAGATTTAAGATATATATAGCGTTTTCAATCAATACCATCTACCGTCTGTGAGATCACAGCACCTAGCAATCGCGCGTAAAATTGAAATTTGAATTTTCAAAGTCGCAATTTACAAAAATAACAAGTTATTCAATATACGATATAATTCGTGTTAATTGTTACTACTTAATTTTGCAGCCTGTTTTATACTATTTGTTTGTAAATATAGAATTACTTACACCTACAAGAAATACCGACCCTGTAAAGGAAAACACGTTTTCAAATTCTTTGGACGTTCATTGATACGTTCAAAAATTTACATAAGTTTTTATTTTAACTGGCGAATTACACAGAGTAAAACTAAGTTTTCTTGTCTTCTATAGATTAATGAGACATGGCATAGATTTAAGATATATATAGCGTTTTCAATCAATACCATCTACCGTCTGTGAGATCACAGCACCTAGCAATCGCGCGTAAAATTGGAAATTTGAATTTTCAAAGTCGCAATTTACAAAAATAACAAGTTATTCAATATACGATATAATTCGTGTTAATTGTTACTACTTAATTTTGCAGCCTGTTTTATACTATTTGTTTGTAAATATAGAATTACTTACACCTACAAGAAATACCGACCCTGTAAAGGAAAACACGTTTTCAAATTCTTTGGACGTTCATTGATACGTTCAAAAATTTACATAAGTTTTTATTTTAACTGGCGAATTACACAGAGTAAAACTAAGTTTTCTTGTCTTCTATAGATTAATGAGACATGGCATAGATTTAAGATATATATAGCGTTTTCAATCAATACCATCTACCGTCTGTGAGATCACAGCACCCTAGCAATCGCGCGTAAAATTGGAAATTTGAATTTTCAAAGTCGCAATTTACAAAAATAACAAGTTATTCAATATACGATATAATTCGTGTTAATTGTTACTACTTAATTTTGCAGCCTGTTTTATACTATTTGTTTGTAAATATAGAATTACTTACACCTACAAGAAATACCGACCCTGTAAAAGAAAACACGTTTTCAAATTCTTTGGACGTTCATTGATACGTTCAAAAATTTACATAAGCTTTTATTTTAACTGACGAATTACACAGAGTAAAACTAAGTTTTCTTGTCTTCTATAGATTAATGAGACATGGAATAGATTTAAGATATATAGCGTTTTCAATCAATACCATCTACCGTCTGTGAGATCACAGCACTTAGCAATCGCGCGTAAAATTGGAAATTTGAATTTTCAAAGTCGCAATTTACAAAAATAACAAGTTATTCAATATACGATATAATTCGTGTTAATTGTTACTACTTAATTTTGCAGCCTGTTTTATACTATTTGTTTGTAAATATAGAATTACTTACACCTACAAGAAATACCGACCCTGTAAAGGAAAACACGTTTTCAAATTCTTTGGACGTTCATTGATACGTTCAAAAATTTACATAAGTTTTTATTTTAACTGACGAATTACACAGAGTAAAACTAAGTTTTCTTGTCTCCTATAGATTAATGAGACATGGAATAGATTTAAGATATATAGCGTTTTCAATCAATACCATCTACCGTCTGTGAGATCACAGCACTTAGCAATCGCGCGTAAAATTGGAAATTTGAATTTTCAAAGTCGCAATTTAAAAAAATAACAAATTATTCAATCTACGATATAATTCGTGTTAATTGTTACTAGTTAATTTTGCAGCCTGTTTTATACTATTTGTTTGTAAATATAGAATTACTTACACCTACAAGAAATACCGACCCTGTAAAGGAAAACACGTTTTCAAATTCTTTGGACGTTCATTGATACGTTCAAAAATTTACATAAGTTTTTATTTTAACTGACGAATTACACAGAGTAAAACTAAGTTTTCTTGTCTTCTATAGATTAATGAGACATGGCATAGATTTAAGATATATATAGCGTTTTCAATCAATACCATCTACCGTCTGTGAAATCACAGCACTTAGCAATCGCGCGTAAAATTGGAAATTTGAATTTTCAAAGTCGCAATTTACAAAAATAACAAATTATTCAATCTACGATATAATTCGTGTTAATTGCTACTACTTAATTTTGCTACCTGTTTTATACTATTTGTTTTTATCAAATATAGAATTACTTACACCTACAAGAATTACCGACCCTGTAAAGAAAAACACGTTTTCAAATTCTTTTGACGTTCATTGATACGTTCAAAAATTTACATAAGTTTTTATTTTAACTGACGAATTACACAGAGTAAAACTAAGTTTTCTTGTCTTCTATAGATCAATTGGACATGGCATAGATTTAAGGTATATAGCGTTTTCAATCAACACCATTTACCGTCAGTCACAACACCAGACTGAGCAATCGCGCGTAAAGTTGGAAATTTGAATTTTCAAGATTGTAGTTTACAAAAATATCAAGTTATTCAATATACGATATAATTCGTGTCAATTGCTACCTACTACTTAATTCTGCTGCCTGTTGTATACCATTTATATTTTATCTCAACCATAGAATTACATCTACAAGAAGAAAAAACATTTCCTAATTCTTTTGTCTCTCATTGGTATGTTAAAAAATTTACATAAGTTTTTATTTTAACTGACGAATTACACAAAGTAAAACTAAGTTTTCTTGTCTTCTATAGATTGATGACACATGGTATAGTCTTAAAATTTATAGCGCTTTCAATCAACATCTTCCGTCTCATAATATCACGAGACTGGATAATCGCGCCTAAAATGGGAAATTTGAATTTTCAGTTTAGAAAAATAAATGATAATAAGATATCTGAATCTAATATAGAACTCTATCCAACACCGGTAGATTTCTGCATATATTTGGTCTACATTTCTATGCCTAGTAAAAATACATATTTCATTGACATAATTAGTTTTAAAATATGTTTTATTGTTTAAAAAACAATCCTGTATATAAAATTATGGAGTGCCATTTTTACAAAAAAATAGTCATTTCTTGTGGCATAGTTATTTATTTTTTAAAATAAAGGCTCTGTAAAGTCTACAATGACAAAACATTTCTCTATTTTATATTCTACAAGAAGAAAAAATAGTCATAACAAATATATTTTAGAAAAATATTTATAAAGCTATTATAAATCAATTTTATGATGAAATCATAAGTGCCATTGGAAACAACCCGTGACAATGTTGCCATGCCTTTAAAAAAATGAAACTCACATTTAAACGAGTCCGTCCAATTATATATCAAAGAAAAAGCTGTACACAAGTACAGTTTTTGTGTATTTTTGTTATTATTGTATAGTTGACATTTACCTTGTTTATTTATACATATAAATGTTTTGTGTATGTGTCTTATTGTTTATCAACGATTCTAGTCTAAGTAGAAAATCTTCAAAAATATATATACCTATTCTGTAAAAAGAATATTTTCAATAATTTCCGTATTAGTCTCTAGTGACTAGACTCTAGTCTGTATATATTAAATAATTTTAAAAAAAGTGTAGCAACCTATGGTGCCTTTGAAAGCTAGATAAAAGAAAACATAAATATACAAATATTTATTTAGTAAAAACAATGAGTTATATACATTTTATCAATTGACATAATAGTAGACAGCAGTGTCGTGAACAAAATAAACTAAAGTATTAGAGAATTGCATAGTATAGTAAATTGTAAATTATTTGATTGATTCAAGTATTT